ATGGATTTTATTCGAATTTACTCATTTCTCATTTCTTTTCACCTTGTTTTATTTAAAAAAACAATATATTTAAAAAAATGTTGAATCGACAAAGCAAAATGTGGAAAACCTTATTTAAATTTCTGATTTGTTGAATCCAATCATTGACTCAATCGAAAGTACTAAGAAAAAAATTCATTGAATGTTTTTTTTCTCAATCACCATACTAAATAAAATGTGGTAGGTGGAGGATAAAGTATATTAGTAATAATGAACATGAAAAAAATTAAATCAGATGGCAGGCGTCTTGATGGTTATCATTAGTCCTTTAGTTGACTTCAGGCTTCACAGAGTGAAAGGAACATCAAATTGAAAAAAGTCGAGAGGAGGGGAACAGAAGAGTGTTTCAAAGACGATGGTAGAGAAGGTAGAGAAAAAGGTGAGGTGAGTACTGAAGAAATAGTCGAATATGACATACACTGGGGTCATGGTAGTTTGAAGTCAGAAGTCAACTGCCGGTTAATAGACTTTTTTGCCGAATGAGTATACGTTGCCCAGGGTGCACCACATGGAGGTAAGTCTATCGCACACCCCTGAACATGAAAAATAGTTTCGTTCCATGCGAATTGTGTAAATTTGCTTATATCACAAATACGATTCGCAAGTATTTCTATGTAAATCAATTCATTAATACTCTTTGTTCTATAATTTATCGATTTTTTTAATAAAAGCTAATAGCTCCCATGTAATCAATAGTTTGCAAAGTCTTCTCTTATTTATGCTACGATATGCTCAGGTTGTTGACAACCCACCAGAATCTTAAACAAATAGCATAATAAGTTCACATTATGGGAGATTGAAATTAGTTAACTTGATCTAACATCTACTCAAACCCAATTCTGAGTGCATTTTTAAAATTTAAGTAAGTCAACCCTGAAAATAACTTCACTTTTATGTTTCACTGGTAATTAAAAGTGCAAATTTCGAATAACATCTATTTAGCAAAGATGACCACCGATTTGACCCGTTTGCGACCTATCACAGTAACGAATAAAATTCTTTGATTCTGAAATCTTCAAAACTGTTGCGACCAATTCAAAGGGTTGGTCGGCTTGTAAAATATCGCCTAGATTGACCCAAAATTTGAATGAAATAAGCGCGAGATAATGTACAACTATTCACTCACTTTTATACCCAATTTCAACTCAAAACTAAACCGATCCATAACAAAAATGGTGTTTATCATATTTTCGGCGAAATCATAGAAGCACACTTAATGCTAGATAGCGTTAGATGTTCGCAGAGAATAAGCAAGCATCCATTTACGAGGTTTCCTCATTTTGATCTTTTACTCTCCACCTCCAGTGGCATATTTCTGCGTCCAATTTCTTGCAATTTCGACGTACTTCTCCCTGTTTAACTTATACATTCGGGCTATTTCCGTCATCAATGGATTATCCAAATTGGGATCGTTCAAGATTGAAGAAATTGAAAGTAAAACTAAAAAAATTTACGCAATTGACGTTGAATTAGCTTATTACCACTGGACATTGTAAGCGATGGTGACCATTGATCTTTGAGAATATCCAGGCAAATGTGTCCCTTTGAATTTATATTTGGATGATAGATTTTAGTTTTGAAAGTAATCTAAATACCGGACAACACGTAATTACTCCTTACCTGTGGTGGTTCAAAAGGATAATTTGATGGAAAGCGAATATTCAAGCGAAAAACACCGCCTTCATAAGGAGTACCATCCTAAAAAAAATTGTCAATTTCACCTTATGTAAACATTCACTTACCGGTCCGATGATGATTCCTTGCCAGTGTTTAACTAAAAATAATATTCGTGATCATGAAAATACGCAAATGTCTTACTATCACCGTTTACTAGACTAGCCGAACAGTTTGTTTTTGAGTCCTGATTTAATTTTTCTAAGTCTATCAAGTCCTGCACAAATGAATAAGACAACAAAATTTAATTTACTTTCTTGATTCTGGTCAAATTCATCGGAAGATTGTAAAAAAAACGCGAGGTTAAGTTAAAGCGTATACGAGAAGTGCTCACGAATTGATTATCGTGTCTTATATAAGAGTGAGTTATTATCATTGAAGACTGTTAAGATATGATATGGCAATAATTAGCTCTGTCATTACTAACGTTTCTTTTAGTATTACGAAACTTCAGATCATCACCAAATTGTGTTTTCTCGTAGGTTCATTATTCGCCTTTTCTAAACGTTACCCTAATTGAGAACACAAACGTGGTATCAGTTTTCAAATTCAGTTGATTAGCTGGGGAGATTTTTAGCTTGAAGTTAAGAAGTTTTTACTTATTGATTACAGTGTTTCTAACACACAAAAGTTCAATTCTTTTGCACTACTCCACTCGACGAAAAGATAGCATAGCAGTTGATGACAGAGCTGAGAATGCTGATATGAATTATTGCATTTTAACCGACGGTATTTTACTATATTTGCGAAAGAGTTATCTAGTGGGAATTTTGTGAGAAAGTGAATATTATGTATTTCAATTTTATTATGAAAATTTCATTTCGATAATATTTTGTGCTTCTAGAAACATAGAAGCGTTTTGTGTGACACGGTTATACTCGATTCACTTGACTCGAAAGATTCAGATGCTTTCCACTGTTTCCGCAATCAACCCCCAGAGTGAGAAGAGGTCATCACGTCTTTCTCACATGTTTCGCTAAGAGCAAATAGTATTAACATACTGAAGCTCCTTTAAAGACCTACGCTCAACGCTTTACAATTATCCCTTTTTAGAGTTCCGATATCAAGCTTCTTGGTGTAAAAAGGAAGCCTTTGCTTCGATATTAAACTGAATTTTTGCCGAAAACCAATGAATTTGCACCTTCAGAATAATATTTTAAAATATTAAAATAAAATACAAATATATATATATAAAAATATAAAAGATCTTGTACCACTTTATGAAACCCGTGAAAAATGTAAATTTACAAAATATGATTTCAACCCAAAACTCACTTAACTTTATGGATACATTTAGAAATTTATTTCGGCAAAGATTATTTTTGATAACAGCAATTTTAAGAAATTGCGTTGCGAATAAAAGGTTAAATATCAAAAATAACTCGTAATATTATAAAATCAAATTGAACTACAATCAACTAGCATGCTTGAACACAATCGATATTTTGAAGTAATTTAATAATTTTAAATAAATGCCATCTTTACTAGAGGTGTAAAAAATTTCTAAAACGATTAAACACCTGCTTCCCCCTGATATATTTACTGAGTGGTGCTAACTGGTATTCTAAACTCTACCTCATTATCTTATAATAAGAATTATTTAGAAAATCGATTAGATTTCAAATGTTATCATCATAGAATAAACTGATGGAATTGTAGCCAGCGCTGTTCTGCGAGCAATTTTGTCCAGAACAAAACAGACGGTTTTTTTTGTTTTAAATAGATATTTTTTGAAAATTTACATTTTAGTTAAACTTATTATAATGTCGACTAAAAAATTAAAGCGTGTTATAATTTCTTTAATTGGAAAACTTAAAAATTCCATGAAGCTAAATATTTTGCAAAAGTCGTTGCGCTACTTTACTGACATTTAAATAATTGAAATTTTGATCACCCATCGGTAATTTTAAAACTATCATCCGCAACTTCGTTACTCTTTGTTAAAGGGAGTTTAAGGGTGAATAAATAAGTAAGTGAAATAGTATGTCAGGAGGTACGATAATATTCAAAAGTAACATTAATATAAATGAATTTAAACCAAATCCCTAATCAGTTTAGAGGTTTAACAATGAGTTCTCAAATATTGAGATTTTTTATTTATTTCAAATGGTAGGCGTTTTGTTTGCTATCATTATCCCGTTGGCTGAATTCAGACTTCATAGAGAGGAGGAGAAACATCAAAGTGGCAAAAAGACGAGAGGGGGACAGAATAATGATTCACAGATTTAAAGGAGACAGGCAGATACAAAGGTAGATGAAAGGTGAGGTTAGTACTCTGGAAGTGGTCGAATATGGCATATGGGTGATGGTAGTTTAAAGCCAGAAGTCAATTACTGATTGAAAGACTTTTTTGCCGTATGAATATAAGTTGCCCAGGGTGCACCACGTGGAGGTAAGTCTAGCTATCTATGTCAATCAATAGAGGTGAGAAGACACGAAGTACGAGAGTAATTGTAAATATTTTGTACTGTGAGGACATTAAACGCTTAAGCGTACAAATATGACCCCTCTGCAAGCACGCTCTTACAAGCTCAATACGCCTTTATTTTCCATGAAGTTCTAGAACGAGTCAGTTCCTATTTGGTAGTCCCGGTAATGTTGTATTTACCACAACTTCAAGTTGACATCATATGATTGTATTTAACTCAATACGCTTGCAATTATTCTGTTCCGATGAGAAGAATTCATACGGCCTGGAGTGCAAGAAGTGCATATTTTTCGAAAAAAAGGTGAAAAATGCAGACGATATTGGTCGGATGAGAAATGCTTGGATATCAAGTAAGTCAATGTTTACATTGAAACTCGATGTGGCGCAGAGATTGCGTGCACAGGTTGAAGCATGAAAATTCAATAATCAATAATCCAATGCTTGAGAACTGAGGTCCGTGGGCTTTGGAAATAAATACTAAACCTATTTTATTTTGAGAAAAAGAAAAACTCAAATTTATTTGGACGATAAAATAGTCTAATATGATAAGTGTATTTATGAATTATAAAAAATTCGTGTCCTAAGACTTTGAAATTGGCTATATAGTTATGAATTGCGAAAATATTCTATAAAAGTTTGGATTAAGAAGTAAGAAATGTAATAAAAAGGTGGCGCAGTTAAAGGGGAATCAACGAGCTTGTTTAATTTCACTTTTATAATCTCTCCACTTGCTACCAACTTTATAACTTTCGCATCCATTTAGTCCGCATATAGATTTTGATTAGTGAAACCTCACTTAATCATATTGTTTCATCAAAAATTATAATGCATTGTAAATCTCTCCACCGAATCGCAAAAGGCATAAGAAGCGATATCGGAAATTAATGGAAATTTTAATAAGCTCAATGTTGTCTTCACGATCAGGGAGCCAAATAAAAGAAAGTTAAATTTTTATTTGGTGACATTTAAGTACAAGCTGTCCCACATTATTGAAAATTTGTACTTTTAGATATTTAATTATATTTCAGTGCACAAGTACATTTAAAATGTTTGCAAGTCAAAATTACTCTGAAATTCATTTTTTTAAATTTCGACGTAATAGGTTTGAAAAATTAGGTACATTTCAATATTTGTATCAATCAATCTGAATTTAAAATACTTGCCCTGATTAACTAAATAGGTTGTCTATTCGCTGGAGGAATATTTTATTCCTGAAATGATTTATTTGGTGACACTACCAATGAGATAAGCTGAGTTAAAGTAGCAAAGTTAAGAGTGCAAAATACGGCTATTTCATAGCCTCATAAGAGGCTTATTATTTACCTTTACTTGATCTTACCTTTATTATTTCAGATTCATTTTGCATTGTCATGCACGACGAATAGATTGACAGCGCATAAGTGAAGCTAAGAATTGACATATTTATTGGCAAAATGATGAGAATCGTTCGTTTTGTTGAAATGCGAGATCTAAATTTAACGTGATTATTTGGCACCTCTGATGACATTTATATGCATGCATGATGAAATTCGACAATGCTATAAATAAAAGGGAAATTAGTTCCTACCTGCTTGAAGAGAATCTTAAATTCCTCCTTACATTTAAACTTCCACATCAGTGTGAGTAGATCAGGGAATTCCGAAGGTGGGTGATTGGTTTTTTCTATTTAACTTATTTAAATAACAAATTCTTTCGTAGGACAAAGTAGAAAAATAATAATCTAAGTAGTTAAATATGCGTATTTATCATGTTTTTTTCCAAATCATAAACCAGAATTACTCCTTAAAATTGCCTGAATTTTACGAGCAGACATCTTTGCACATGAAAAAAAAATAATTGGTTGTTTTAATGAAATAAAATTTGTCTTTAAGTGTATTCAGAGATTTCATAGATTTCAAAGTTCAGCCCCCTTTCAAAGGAATAACCCCCTTCAAGACTGAAACTGAGGAATCGATTGGCTTTATCTGCCCTGATTTAATTTTAGAATATGTTTTAGAAACCACAACCTCTTTAAATAAGATGTCGGGTGAAAATTTATGCGCCTTTCGAACTAATTTTTACATTTCAATTTTAGCAACGAAATCCTGTAATTTAAACTCCATTTGATTGAGGTTTGTATTCACTATTATTGATAACCATATCAACAAAGATTACGTGAGAGAGTATTATTTTTTAGCCAAATGGCAATGAGTTTTGACTCAAGTATCTTTTCGTGTCAACCTATAAATCGATAAAATTTCTAAATTTTAATCAAATGCTTTGGTCTATACTTGAACGTTTTTCGAGCGACAAAACCAAATAGTCAAATAGGGAAGAGTTTAACACTGCCTCAGAGTTTCAAATGGCAAGTATTGAAGTTCACTTTGGTTTCGTTTCATCCACTGTTAGCGAATTATTACATTTTCGAAAGCATTTTGTGCACAATCAGAATTCAAACACTTTGTCTAGGTGAATGGCATTTTTCTGACAAATAACGATGACTTTCAAAAAGTCGATTGAATTTTGACGTGTTATTTATGGCAATGAATATGAAAAATTTCCACATTTGGCACTTTTGTTAGCGTTTCAAGTTTCTTGAGGGAAATAAAGCGTCGCTTAATGGTTCAAAGGAGGGCCCTTGAACTTGGCCCATGATTTGTTGTTTCTTCTTAATTTTAGATTCCAAATATGTCCCCAAATATCCTTCTTCTGTTTTGTGCTGTGATTAAAAAGCACAATTTGTGTCTGCATAGAATAAGCTTATTTAACTGATCCCCAATTTCTGTCTCTTCAGTCCTGGAAAGTTAACTCTTTTTGAATAAGTTTTCTAAGAAACATGTTAGGGGATCCAATCGTAGACGAAACAATAG